GCCAAGATAAAGATAAACGCCAAGTTATCATCATTTGTTAAACTTACTTCAATCTGCAGTATCACTACCAGATTCTAACACCTATGAAATTCATCGACATTGAAAACAAAACAAAAAATTATTAAAAGTCTGCGCCAAACATCAGGCCTTGATTAAAAATCGAGCTAGACCGCTCTCACAATTTCGTTATTAGCATGACGTGAATAATTTAGCTTGACTTGTAGGCAAAGTTTACTAACAAATTTGCAAAAAGGCTTTCGTTAAATGAAATTATCACTCAATATGACGTTCGAAATTTGAAACATCTAGATCTAAAGCCACCCTCCAAATTTCCTGTTAGCATAAACAATTAAGCTAAGCTTGGCAAAGTTACAGATTAGGAAAAGGTTAGAGAATATGATATTTAGAAGGTTTGTTAAGTAATATTCGTCGGAAGGCTTTTGGTGGACTATTTTCACGGGGCCGCATAGAAAATTATCTGGATTGGAAGGACCTGGCATTTCACAAATGTTTGTTTTTAAGTTATATGGTGGACAGCAAATACTTTCCGGTAACTGAGCCCTAAAACATAACGATATGAAACAGAAAACAAATTCAATAATAAAATTTCCCCTGATCCCTACAGCAGAAACGACTAAAAACATACGACAAGCTTTCATCTGAAAGAAGTAATTTATTTTTAAGAGCTAAATCTAAACTGATAAGCTTAAACCCATGGAGTATTTGCGTTTCAATTTCGGAATAAATTAAGGGGGTGTTTACACGAGAAGCTCGCACCTGTGCGCGTGCCATACGGAAATAACTACTTGAATTTATATCTTGTTTACATGCAGGGACAGCTTTTCATCATCAGTTGTCCAATATGGCGTATACGCGACGCCATCTAGGTTTGGATGATAAAAACAAACCATGCGCCACCCCGTTCCAGTCTCTCAGGAGACGTGCAACGGATAGCGCGAAATGGGGGATCACATCCTTATAAACACGTGAGGTGGGTACGCCCCATCATTAGTGTTAGTAAATGGTGTCCGCTTTGTGTGATCAAGACACTTGTAACAAACTTTCGTTGGTCCAGACCAGTACTCAATGGCCGCACAATTTGAACATCGTTGTTTGCATTCCGCCTCTGTAATACCACCTCCAAGTTGTATTAACTCCCTATTGCCGTGTCCACACCATGCAGGCGTATACTCCTGCCATGAGGCTAAAAAATCACAAGTAAGGAAAATAAGCCAATCTTGATTAACAATCACAGCCACAATCACAGTCACAATCATATCAATAACAACAACACGAAAAACAACAGTAACAAAAAAACAACAATATTAATAACAATAACAATGACAATAACAATAACAACCACAGGTTTTGTACCATCGCACTGTCTGTTGTAAAAGGTCTATTATAACAGAAAAATGGGGAAAAGTGCAAAATCCATCTAATCTAATCTAAAATAATGCATAGATAAAAATCTACTGAATGAAAATCTACTTCTAAAAGATGTTTCTAATCTATCTAGATTAGATAGATTTAATTCTCTACTTTCAGTATAAGCAATCAATGGGTCTGGACTGGGATGCTGACTGTAAGGCTAAAAGTAAATTTTGGAGACCTTAGGTCTCAGCTATCAATTGAAAACGGGTCATCGGTTGAACCTCACCTAAACCCTCCTTAATGTAAATGATCAGTTTACGGGCTAAATGTAATCTCTTCACTGGATTTTGATACTCGATACAAACCCTTTTACCGGGTACTATGGACTTACACGATAACTGTGATTGGCAGCGACTTCCTATGTATCCAGGCTGGCAGTTACAAACATATCTATTAACTTGGTCAACACACATTCCTCCGTTTAAAAAGGGATTACTGGAACATTCGTTGATATCTGCGTGAAAATCATGAGAATGAATCAGTCTCATCGCTACAGAGGCCCAACGCGAGCTGGAGTTTCCCAAATGCTTTGATGCAATGGCAAAGAATATCGTAGTATTTTCAACAATTTCGTTCAATATTTGACGTTATTTTTGTGAGTGATCAGGTTGAAGCTAAGAAGGAAGTTTAATCACAGGTGCAACCTGATCTGAGAAATCATTACAGCGCTCCGGTTGGATGGATGACGCGGAAACGAATTCTCGCCTGCCTAACCCTGACAATATCACGGATAAGAAGTGGGAAGCGACGGCTAAACATGTGACTTGATCACTTTTAAAATCAGATGCTGAGCCACATTTCGACAAAGAAGAAAAACTGCATGGTACCTATTCTAACGTCCCTTTCTCAGGGTCCTCTCCATCTTTGAGGAAGAGCGAGGACTAATAACTTGTCACCGAATAAAAGAATAAAAGGACTTATAGACCTTGTTCCTCGTTATTTTACTTTTAACTTTAATAAAACTATTGATGCTATCACACTTATAAGGCTTTTAATTAAGTGCGATAAATCGATAAGTTACATAGCATCACTGTCAGTCGTTTTTCATAGTGTAAGGAACATAATACAATGCAATCTGACAGTTAAAAATGCAAAATTATATCTGAAATGACTGACAACTTACTAGTTTGACAAGGGACTCCCTGATATCCAGGTTGGCAGTTACAAGCATATCCGTTAACTTGGTCAATACACGTTGCTCCGTTTAAACAGGGATTACTGGAACATTCGTTGATATCTGGGTGAAATTAGAATGACAACATATAAAGTAGCCATTGTTCAAAAACTGAAAGCTCAACACCATGCCAAGCTGAGCATGCATTTGATAATAGAACGAGTACTTACTAGTCTGACAATGAACTCCACCGTATCCATCTTGGCAGTTACAGATATATCTATTAACTTGGTCAACACACGTTCCTCCGTTTAAACAGGGATTACTGGAACATTCATTGATATCTAGGTGGAAATCACGAGAATAAATAAAAAAGATAAACTCTCATTCGATTCTTATAGCTACAGAAGCCCAGCGTGTGATAAGACCACCGTCGGCTTTTAAAATCAAACTGAGTGACACTGGGAAAGGATATCTACAAACGAAACAAAGGCAGCGGGGGCGTGACTTAGGAGGAGGCCGCGTGACCCAGTGGTTGGGACGCTGGATTTGTAATCAGAAGATCCTGAAATCAATCCCTCCCCCTGCCACTAGATGGATTTGTGTTTGGTGGTCCCAGATTCAATTCCTCTACGCTTTGTAAATAGCCAACTGGTCAGCTTCCCGCCAGTTGGGATTTTTAACAAGTTTCTGTTTAATTTACAATATCTGTTCGCTTATTTCAGTGTCCACGATTAGTATAGCACTGCTAAACACCTCCACAATTAAATAAAGTGAGTTATTTGAATTTTATTTAAAAGTTGATTGGAAACGGCTATAACTTTTTTTTGGTGCGCAGGGCACACATTCTAACGCCTCTTTCTCAGGTCCTCTCTATCTTTGAGGAAGAGGGAGAACTAAAAACCGGTAACTCACTTAACAGTGAATAAACGGACTTATAGACCTTTTTCCTCGTTAATTTACTTTATATTAAATGTGATAAGTCGATACATTACATAGCATCACTCAATTATATGGTCTCGGCTACCCGAGAAACCCTCCCCTTGAGGCAACTTTATCGAGCGTTTATATGTTGAAACGTTGTCCCATTAAGCCGAGTCAAAGTTGACCCTGTAGGATTATTCATAACCCTTATTGAATAATCAAATGTGCAAATATCCCTCTTTCTTTGAGTTTTCCTCGGTCATTCGATCACAGTGGGCTTTGCCGAGTTACAGACCCTATTCATAAATGGCTGCCAATTTAAAATTCTGTATGTATTTAAATTAGCTCACCTAACCTCGTTTAGAGTAAAAATTCTTTTGAATTATCAACTCAAAAAAGAGGTTAGCTGGGCTAATTTTAATAATTACAAAAGAATTTTTAATTGGCAGCCATTTATGGAATGAGTCTATTTTGCACTTTTTGATACGAATCCTTAATCTGGGCATTGCGTGACACTCGCCACGCCGAACGTTGTCCCGGTTAGGCGAGCCAACGCGCTTATATGAAGAAAAGTTGTCCCGCTTGCCAGTTTACCCTGGCCTGCCGGGACGAGACAACTCACCCACCCGAGTTGTCTTGCCCTCCGAGACAGGTTCGCGATCCTAAGGTAAACGGCTGGTTGAATTTTGCAACGAAATAAGCTAAACGTCACCTCGGCCAGGGTAACTCGGGAGGAGGGTTGTCTCGGGTACCCCGGACCATGTAAATGGGGCCTCGATCAGACAGCCATGTTTCTTAGTGATATTATCTGACTCTTAAAAATGCGAAAATAACATCTGAAATGACAACTTACTAGCCTGACAATGGACTCCGTGATATCCAGGTTGGCAGTTACAAACAAATCCGTTAACCTGGTCAACACACGTTCCTCCGTTTATACAGGGATTACTGGAGCATTCGTTGATATCTACGTGAAAATAGAATGACAACATACATGTATAATAAAGTAATCATAATTCAAAAACTGAAAGCTCAACACCATGCCCAGCTGAGCGTACATGAGTTAATAGAGCGACATCTACAAACGAAACAAAGGTGGCGGTGGCGTGACCTAATGGTAAGGGCCCTGGATTTGTAATCCTCCTCCCTGCCGCTAGATGGGTCCCAGATTCAACTCCTCCACGCTTTGTAAATAGCCAGCTGGTCAGTCTCCCGCCAGTTGAGATTTTTAACAAGTTTCTGTTTAATTAACAATATTTGTTTGTTTATTTCAGTGTTCACAATTAGTACAGCAGTGCGAAACACTTCGGCACTTAAATGAATAGAGGATACTGCATGGCCGCGCGGAGATACGAAATTTCTCTTCGAGTGTTGAAGAATATTTAACGCGTGAGTGCAGCGAACGAGTGAAATATTCTTAAACACGAGAAGAGAAATTTCGTATCTTCAAGTGGCCATGTAATGTTCTATGAAATCCCAAACCATTTCACTTTCGCTGCGAAATGCGCCATTTATTAGGTGACCATAGCAACGGTGATCTTTTTACATATATGAAGATAACATGTTAATTTCACGTGAAGGTATCATGTATTCGCGAGACAGGTCACCTGGTTTTTCATTGGTTTTTATATAATAAAGTGATTTATTTTTATTTTATTTAAATGTTGTTTGGAAACGGCTATGCCATCTTTTATAGTTAACAGTGCGCATGGCACACATTCTAACACCTCTTTCTCAGGTCCTCTCCATCAGTTGAGGAAGAGCGAGGAATAAAAACTGGTCACTCACTTGACGGTGAATAAACGGTATAGACCTTATTCCGAGTTATTTTACTTTTTTAACTTAAAACAACTGGTGCAGTCTCACTTATAAGGCTTCACATTAAATGTGATAAATCGATAAGTTACATAGCATCACTCAGCAAATCATTTTTCTTAGTAAGGAACATAATACAATACAAATGCAAACTGATATCTGAAATGACAACTTACTAGTTTGACAATGGACTCCCTGATATCCAGGTTGGCAGTTACAAACATAACCGTTAACTTGGTCAATGCACGTTGCTCCGTTTAAACAGGGATTACTGGAACATTCGTTGATATCTGGGTGAAATTAGAATGACAACATATAAAGTGGCCATCGTTCAAAAACTGAAAGCCCAACACCATAGACCCTATTCATAAATGGCTGTTAATTAAAAATTATTTTGTAAGAATTAAAATTAGCCCAACTAACCTCGTTTTTGAGTCGATAATTCAAAAGACGTTTTACTCTCACACGAGGTTAGTTGGGCTAATTTAAATACATACAAAATAATTTTAAATTGGCAGCCATTCATGAATGAGGTCTATGCCCGGCTGAGCATGCGTGAGTTAATAGAGCTAACACTTACCAGTTTGACAATTCACTCCACCGTATCCATCTTGGCAGTTACAGAGATATCCATTAACCTGGTCAACACACGTTCCTCCGTTTAAGCAGGGATTACTGGAACATTCGTCGATATCTACGTGAAATAAGCGTTTTGATGTGTCATTGAGCCGTTTGCACCGCATTTATGATTACAAGAGAGAACTAAATATTCATGCCGTTTACGAAATACACCGCTGTACTTGTTATTGTGGTCAATCTAAAGTCCTTTCACTTCCTTTCGCAAACTGAATAGTGTGGTTTGTTTCCAAGTGACTGACAAACCAAACAAGCAAAGCATTTAAATTAACCTAAACTCTCCCTAGCTTGATATAAACCGCAGTGTTAATGAGACCCTGGTGGTGTGCAATTCAGTATAAATTATTAAAGTCACACCCACACAGGAGGAGGGGCAGATCTAACAGTAGTACCAGCGAGGATATTTATATGGGTAACAGCATTGCAACCCCCCCCCCCCCCCCCC